CTTGTACTTCATGATAATTTTTATGGCTCATCCCGCTGCGTTCGGGAATTTGGTGATACGACTTGTTGACTCTGACTCTCTACCATCTCTCCTCTACTCCTCTCTTGTCTTGATGTCTTCTTTCTGTCTGTTTTCGTCATTTGCATGTTATGTTTGCCAACTCAGCTTGCTATTGGTCGACTGTATGTGAATTTTCACCGACATTCTTTCGGCAGTGTAACCACTGTAGGAATTATACTACGTGTGTGTGACTTACGTGCCATATGCTATCTGACGTTTGGTTGATTGTGCTTGCTTGTTGCTTTGCTTGTGGATATATTCTTCGTTCGTTTTTGCTTTTTCCACATGGCTTCGCAGTTTCTACCTAGAACATGTTACACATGCGGATCTCCTCACCATTTTTTTCGTGAGTGTTCGCAGGGCAATGGGGGATCTCGACCTCCGGCTACAGGGGCTAACACTATACCTACCGGGGTTCCTCTTCTCACCCTTCCGGCCTCTCAGAGTTTGGCGACTAACACGGGTGTGCATGTTGCTGGTACTGGTAATCACCACTATGGCGGTATTCCTCGTCCTAACTTCTAGAAGAGTAATCAGGAAAAGCTCGATAGGGTGTTCAGGAAACTATTGGCAGATGAAGAAAAGGAGAAGAAACAAAAGGAGGAAGAGGAACGAATGAAACGAGAAAAGGAGGAGGAAGAACGACGTGCTCAGTGGAAGAAGGAGCGTGAAAAGTTTGAAGAAGACATGGGTGCACGACTGGAGCATCGAATGGACAAAGTGATGGGAAAACCAAGCAAGGGTGTTCCTCAGAGGATGAGGTCACTCAGCTTAAGAAGGAGAATGAGGATCTGTGGCGAGCGTTGCTTGGTGACAGCGAGAGCAGTCAGGTAGAGAAGCTTAAGAAGGAATTGGCGGACCTTCGTGTGTTGGTTGCCGCTAAGTATACGAAGGAGGATGAGATGGTGGCGATCAGGCAGGAGATTGAGCAGCTTCGATCTTTGGCACGTGCTAGGGGGGACGTTGAACGAGAGTTGGTTGACCTCGAGAGTGAGCTGGTTGTGTTGAGAGGGCAGAATGAGCGAGCACTGAATGAAGTTAAGTTGTGGAAAGACGAAGCTATGCGACCTGGTAACAAACGCGGTAACATAGCTTTGAGCACTCCGGATGCTGCTAATCGCGGAACTCCTAGAGCACGATGGACCGATTTGGGGCAGGATGGTGCCGAGAAGTGGAAGGCTGAATACCATAAATTGCAGGAGTTAAGGCGCACAGACTTTGCTGAGGTGGAGATGTTGAAGAAAAAACATGCTATGGTGGCGTCGGAGGTTTTGAATCTGCAGAAGAAAATGAGTGAGTTGTCTGCGGAGGATCGTGAGGCTGACAAGACAGGAGGAGGTACCAATCTTAAGGATAAGCTGGAAGCAGTAACACTTCGTTCGGCGCGCAAAGGCAAGAAAGTTACCTCTAATCGAGATGGGGTCAAGAAGACCACCGATCGCTCTTCCTTTGTTGAGGGGCAAAAAAAGCAGCTCAGACAAATTCGAAAATCAGGACTGGAAGCACTTTGCAAAGAGGCTGGCCTTGATTCTGGTAAGGTCGATCTTATGATTGATGCGATTGCTGAACATCGTGCCATGCAAGCGTTTGGAAGCTTTCCTACAAGGGACAGGGAAACTGTGGTTATTGACTCTGAATCCATGCAGGAGGTGGGTAATTTTGTGGATGCCCATGATGTCTCGGTAGAGCTCTAGGTCGGATCCCAGACGCGACCTATTTGTGGAGATTAGCTAATTTATGTAGAAACCGACGACAGTCATCTACCGTTCTGAAATTTGACTCACGTGCGAACTCTGGTTTTCCTCCTTTGTCTCAGTTTGATGGGTCTTTGAGTTCCTCTGCTTCCTCTCGGATCTGTTCCCTGGACTACGTACGTGATAAAGAATTCAATATTTTTTATCGTTCGGTTGTGTTGCGACTTATTCTGGATGGTCTGATTCCTTGGGGACTTAAGTTTCGTAATTATTTGGAATTGATTGCTTGTAATGAGGATTTGGAAGAATGTCGCGGGCCTTTAGTCTATATACTTATTTCGCCATGGAACAGGCATGTGTACGTGGAATTTACTTCTCGAACTCTCTTGGCTCGTTGGGTAGAACACGTGTATCGTACTAATAATGATAAGGTGGTTGACGAGGGATGTAGGAACCACAGGTTATATTCTTGGATGCGTAGATGTGGGATAGGACAATACGTTGCTTTACCGCTGTTCTACTGTCAGCAGGATGATTTGTTGGAGTTGGAACGTAATATTATTCGTCTTGCGACCCTCATTTGAACAGTAGGGACCGAGTTGTTAAGGGTAAGAGAAAAAGGTTGGGTAAACGAGAGAGAAGGAAGAGACCTGGGATTGTGGCTCCAAATAAGTTGAGCAGGGGTATCGATAACCATCTGATTTTTAATTCAACAACTGGGTTGGTTTCGACATCTATCTCCAAGATCTTCAAGGACTGTAAGGAGAAACATATTTCGGCCGTCGGGATCTACTGTGCTGGGGATGGAAGATGGGCCGAGAATTGGAAGGTCGTTAAACGTAAATACGGATCGTCTGTCGTGGATTTCGGTAGTGGTATTGAATTGCTTCGTAAGTGCAAGGGTCTGTTCCGAACTGGCTGCTATGTATTCATTTCGTCTATTGTCTTCTTTGGAGCTCGCTATCTCTCATTAAAGCCTGCACTCAGTAATCTGGTCGCTAATCCCCCCTCTAGGAAAGAATTGTCTTCGTGGGATCTCTCGCTACTGATCGCTTCCTTTTCTGCAATTCGATGTTTTTCTGAGAAACGGACACGCTACTCTCTTCGCCTCATTCTGTCCAATGCAATCTTGAGGAATTTTGGTTTGAATGTGAGGAAAAGATTGGTGGTATGGGTGACTTATGATAAGCGTCTCAGTAAGCCTCAGATTAGGGAGTTTTGTAAATCTCTGATCAGGGGATCTGATATTGATCAGGGATGGAAGGAGATGTTGGTCAGACGTATGAGGGTTGTCTGGCTAAAAAATAAAAGTATAGGTGATGTGTTGTTCGGTTTTAGAACGGCTGCGCAGGGAGAGGGAATTGTTTGTTGTTGCGCAACGTCGGAGTCAGGTTTTCCTGAGGTGAATGGCCATGTCTATTTTAGGCTTAACGATTTTGAGGATGCTCCGGCTTGGCTAAAAAATAATAAGAATGTACCTGAGCCTTCTAGGAGGGATGTTCTTCGCTTGTTGGGTAAACAATTGGCGGAGTCGGTTAATGAACTGAATCTACCTGTCCCTGCTTTCTCAATAGATGATCTGAAGAGCTGTATGTTGGAGGTCCGAAGTGGTTTCTCCAACCCTTGCTGCATGGAGAACGTCGCACTTTGGAAAACTCGGTTGGATGGATTTGTTAAGGTTCCTATTGATCATAACCCCGACGATACTCTGGTCTGCTGTCCTTTGATATATCAGCGAGGTATAGATAAGTTGTTTCTTAGTAATCCAGGATTTCACCTTGTCGAGTAAACGGAGGATGTGTTGATGACTGTACTGGAGAGCGATTACAGGAAGTTGAACCTGATGAAGTTGGCAAAATGGAAAAAGGATGGAAAACTGGGATCTGCTTATGCTATACCAAAGCATAAAGACATTACTAAGTGGAGACCAATCTGCCCCACCTTCTCCGATTACTGTGTTAGAGCTTGTCGAAAGGTCTCGCACGCTGTCAACATTATGATCTGGGAGCTTCCGAAGCGTTCGAATTTTAATTTACGAAGTACTGATCTTCTGCCTGATAGCCTGAGAAATGTTAACAAGGACTCGAAAAAGGGTGACCGATGGATTACCGCTGCCTACGATGTTAAGGAGATGTTTTGTAATCTCCCTCATGCATCTATTCTTACCGCTTTCGATTGGGTGGTGGATTATTGGACCTCTGCTGCGGCTAAGGGAGTTGTGATGAGGAAGCAAGGTAAGGAAAACTGTGGCAGGGTAGAGTGCCTGAAGGATGGGAAGGTGTTCAGTTTGGGTTATTAAGACAATTTGTGATTTTTGATTTAGAAAACACATATCTTTTTGCTTCGGGGAAAATCTTACAGCAGATTGTTGGAATTTCAATGGGAAAATCCTCCAGTCCTGCCATTGCTTGCCTGCTTTGTTCCTTCTCTGAGTTTACCTTCTTGACGAGCCTAGGAGTGGATCGTAAATTGGTGCATGGAATACGCTTGATCGATGACGTTTCTTTGTTCATCAAATACCGGGAAGGGAACGCTGCCTCCATTCGCAAAGGCCACGAACTGATAGCAAGGTTTGAAAAGTGTTATGATTTGAATCTGGTTTTGGAATGCACTAGTAGGGCTACATGTTGGGATTTCTTAGGTTGCGGGGTGAAGAATTTTGATGGACCCTTGGGTATTCGGTGTGCTGCGGTGCATAAAAATCAACGATCAATTCGTCAGGGTATTCTTTTTCAGAATCTACAAGATGCTTGCTCCTATACTAGTCGGCAACAGAAGCTGGTTGTCCTTGCTTCTTTCTTTCACCGCACCAAGAGGCTTACGGACATTCCAATTGTTGCTGTGGAATTTCTTTTCTCTCTGAAGGTGGAGTTGCGTCTTCGAGGATTTGAGGATGAGTTCTTTGACGGTGCGCTGCAAAACTTTTCTGGCAAATTAAGTGGATGTTGGGATGATTGGTTGAGTTTTCTTACTGGTTGGGACTGTGCCCCTGGACGCGGGAATATTGGGGGACCCAGGTTGCGAAGCCTACCTGGGCAATATCGGAGGACCCAGACGGACTGAATTTGAGAAACCCCAATCTGGCAAGTTTCTGGACCAGTTGGTTGGTCATGCGTTCGGCTGACTTTAGGCTTAGTGGTATAGGACCAGGCCTCACTTCTGGGGTCTGTGCTTTTGCGTTTTYTGATCCATTGRCAGGTATTTTGATACTTGGKYTATTTCGWAGTATAGGTCTAMTGGTAGGACCTCCCTATTAATACCTGTCAACTCGTAGTCATTACTATCTCCGCCGTTCGCTGAAGACCCCTGATGAGTCCTTGTTCTGGCGACGGGACRAAACGTCGGGTCATCCGCCAGTTGCTCGCATGAATTTTGAYGATGATAGGBGTGACGCCTACCTTTGGTTCGAGCTCTGATGAGCCTTGTACTTCATGATAATTTTTATGGCTCATCCCGCTGCGTTCGGGAATTTGGTGATACGACTTGTTGACTCTGACTCTCTACCATCTCTCCTCTGCTCCTCTCTTGTCTTGATGTCTTCTTTTTGTCTGTTTTCGTCATTTGCATGTTATGTTTGCCAACTCGGCTTGCTATTGGTCAAATGTATGTGAATTTTCACCGACAGCCCGGGGGGCCCCGAACGTTCGGTCAGGTAACCCTGTATGTATATATATATATATATATATATATATATATATATAAAGCAAAAATTCAGGGTAACATGGCAGTTTCAATGAAAATTTTATCGGAAACGACACTACCTATTAACCATTAGTATAAAACATAAATGTATTACGCAAAGTTTTACAAGTACATATTGGATTTGTTCCCTACCTTTATTTATGAAAGAACTCGTACACATTGATGATTTTGACATTGGTGATCATGACTATACTTCTTCCTTTATTGATGTGTTTTCACGATAGACAACCCTTCATTGATGCTAGGATAACCAAACCCGAGTTTGTCTCCTCTCTACCATAATATAAATGACCAATCTTTAGTACATCATTTTGTAATCGTATTTTTTTTTAGGTGAGACTTCGATCTAGTGAATATAAAATTTATGTCTCAAATAACCCTCAGTTTGTTTTGTTGTTTTTTATCTCTTCCATCTAAACAATATAACCTTTGTCCATACATCGAGTCGTAATACCATCCCAATATTGTCTTAGGCTTACGTTCACAACATTAATTACAAGCACAATAACCATGTGCAAATCAATAATTACCTTGTCAACTAGCAATGGAGAATATAGTCAAAAGCAAAGTAGGCTAAGCTATATTTCAAATGATGATGATTACTATCAACGACTCATCTCATGTGAAAATGCTAATGAGTCATTGTGAACAAAAAAAGTGTGAAAACAACAATAATAAAAAAACTCACTCTTTCTAAAAAAAAAAACTAACAAAAACTTTAAAGGTATTTAAACTTGGGCAAAAAAGCCTCGAGGTATGTCGACATTGTACATATATTAATATGTATTTGTCGGCTACATTCTCAAGTAACAGCCAGGGAGGTTTACTATCACACAAATAATTAATATATGTTTCCATCAATCCGTCGTGGCTTTTCACTTTGCAACATTTGTCATGTACCTACCACTTATAAACCAGATACATTGTGACTATTTGAGCAGCTTGTATATATCTTGACCATTCCAACAACAAATATGTTTGGAACGTTTGGTAATGGAGCGAGGTCTTGTATATGATGCACGTGCGTGTGCGCGTGCGCGCGCATGAGAGAGAGAGAGAGAGAGAGAGAGAGAGAGAGAGAGAGAGAGAGAGAGAGAGAGAGAGGGAGGGAGGGAGGTGCATGTATGTTAACGCCTATTTTTTTTCGTTATTTGTTCTCCTCCTGTTTTAGTAGTAGGGAGGAGGGGTGGTTCACGTTGGACCTCTTGCCATGTGGCATCCAACGGATTAGGGACGAGTGGCGATAAGTGGGAGGGATAACACAGAGTGTCACACATACATACACACACATATATATATATATATTTATATATATCGTCAAATATATATATATATATATATATATATATATG